GGTGAGTGCCCACACCTCAGCTACATTTCCTATAGTCACTGTTAAGTGAGACAGCTGTCAGTTGCTGCACTGTGATCTGGCCTGGCAGAATGTTTTCAGAGTTAATGTTTAATGTCTGAAGCTGAATTGATCCAGGCACTGCTTTTACAGAAGGCAGCTGCACGTCCTGATAACTCAGCTGTGACTCCAGTTGCTGGAATAGTTCAAGGATGTTTCTTCTCCTTACTGTGGCTTTGCATTCTCCATCTTTCTTGGTTGTTAGGGGGCCTTCTCTTCCTTCAAAAGGAAAAGGAGGGCTTGTATCTTTTAATCCCAAAGATGCTTGTTTGATAGAATCTTAACACTGTCACAATTCAGTTCTCAGAACTAGGAGGAGTAGTGCTATTTCTTTGTTTCTGTACTCAGTGCTCTGGTAAACCTGGCTGTGTGAAGAGAATTCCTAAAGCTAGTGACAATTGGAGAGTTCTGAAGCTAGCAGAGGACTTCACTGGCCCATGCTTGCCAACAGTTTGTGCAGTGCAAAAGAACGTATCTGCCTTACATAAAGAATTAAATCATTGTGATCAAAGAGCAAGTACTTCGAACCTTCACAATGAAATGCCTTCATATGTCTATTAGCATTCTAGAGGCTGTCCTCCAAATCTAATTTGAATGTCCTGGATTTAGTGCACTGCTTGAAATGTGTCAGCCAACCGTTGGGTCCTTTGGTACTTGTGCTTTCATGGCCATATGGCTTTAGCCAAGTCTTCCACATTGGAGCTCTGCTTTGTTCCCTATCTTTTTCTCTGGACAAAGCATTGCAGTGTCTCTCTTAAGCTCTTCTTTAGTACTTGCAGAATGCACGGCGAGCTGTGAAGGCTTGTAGAGTTTTTCTGGTTTGTCTGTACCCCTTTTAACAGCTCAGTGCAAGTATGCATGCAGGAAGTAAGTTGCAATAGATGGAGTTTTTGGCTTATTGAAATACAACCTTCTGTTTTCTTCTAGCTGTTGAATCAGATGGATGGATTCGATACTCTGCACAGAGTTAAAATGATCATGGCTACTAACAGACCAGACACTCTGGATCCTGCCCTTCTGCGGCCTGGAAGGCTGGATAGGAAGATCCGTGAGTTACAGTGGCTGAAAGGATGTTGGCTGTGTGTGAGTGATGCCCTGCTGCTTTTATTCAAGCTGTAATTCTTTCCAGATATCGATCTGCCAAATGAACAAGCCAGATTAGATATTTTGAAGATTCATGCAGGTCCCATCACTAAACACGGGGAAATAGGTGAGTATTTGTGATTATTGATATCCTGCCTGGATATTCTACCTCAGCTTGTAAAAATGAGAAGAGCACGGCTGTAAATCAGTAAGCTGACGTGATTCTCATCAGGTAGTTTCCTGTTATGCAAACAAGCAGCATTTCTCTTAGCCAGAAAAATAAAAACAATAATTAAAAAAAGAAATCCCACCCTACCGCAGTAATGGGCTGAAAATAAGCAGCTTTAGAAGTCAGAGGAACTTAACTTGGGAGTTTAGAGATGAAAACCTTATTATTACCTGAAAATGAGTTCGTCTTTGGTCGCTGGTGTAGAGGATTCTCTACAGCACAGGGGAGAACTATCATAAATCTGGAGAGCTTCACCTAATGGCTGCATTTCTCCACACTGACCAGCCTGTGTTCTCACAGCTGAGTTTCAGAGCCTTCCTCAAGAAAGCCGTAACTGCGATCTGACTTGAAAACAATGTTGGCTGCCTTTTATTTCAGCGGGGCTCTGCAGACCTTGCCTGCTTATTGCCAGCCCCGTGCCGCCCCCTCTCTGCCCCCGCCTCGTTGCTGACACCAGCTATTCATCAGCCAGCCTGCATGAGCTGGGTAGTGGAACTGATCTCGTTCACCATCTGGCTGCATAAACAGCTGCAGCTCAATAGAGGGTGGCTCAGGAGCGGGGATGAGCTGGGGGAGGGTGAGAGTGATGAGGGCTGCCTTTTTAGCCCTGCTGTTGGCATAAATGTGCGTCAGGCTGTAGGCTAAGATACAAAAGATGCTCTGAGGCAAATCATGAGCCTGGTGTGATGGACTTTGGCCTGTTTCACTGTATGTTTGGGGGCTAAAACTAAAGCAGGTGGGGTCGTTGACACCGTTTAACACAGGGAGGTGTGAAGGAGTTACAGCTAAACTTCTGAACGTGGTGTGGGAGGGCAGTGGTGCTCAGCTGTGACTTCCTGGAACGAAGTCCACAATGATCTCATCAGCAGAATGGGCTGTGCGTGGCATTGGAACCCTGTGATAAAGACCTGATTGAGAAATGACTTTTAGTGTGCAGCACTGAAGGCTCAACAGGCAGTGTTTTGAAAACCTGCTGCAGAAACCACAACCGTAGCTGTTGCTCTTGGTAAATGTATGCATAAAGTATCAGGCTTTGATCCCAGGGCGCCTTCATGTCTTCTGTAGTTGCACTTGAATAAGAGGAAAGGGACTGAGATGATTGCTTGGATTTCAGTTTTCTGTTATTTTCTTATTATTCAAATGATGATTTCAACACTTGATCCTTGCATTTCATGTTGATGCTCATAGTGTCCAAATCAGTAACTCTGGGATTTCACTACGTAATATGAATTTTCAGCTCAGATACATTTATTTGTTAATGGATGGGTTAATACAGCTGATTATTTCAGTTCATGTAACTTACCAGCCTTGTAGGCTGGAATCACAGAATCACAACATGGCCTGGGTTGCACAGGAGCACAGTGCTCATCCAGCTCCAAGCCCTGCTGTGTGCAGGTCGCCAACCAGCAGCCCAGGCTGCCCAGAGCCACATCCAGCCTGGCCTTGAATGCCTGCAGGGATGGGGCATCCACAGCCTCCTTGGGCAACCTGTGCCACTGCCTCACCACCCTCTGGCTCCAAAACTTCCTCCTCATATCCAACCCAAACCTCCCCTGTCTCACTTTAAAACCATTCCCCTTGTCCCATCACCATCCACCCTCACACACAGCCGTTCCCCTCCTGTTTATCCGCTCCCTTCAAGCACTGGAGGGCCATCATGAGGTCTCCCTGGAGCCTTCTCTTCTCCAAGCTGTGTTCCATCATTAGCTGGACATGTATTTCAGTCACATCCAATGGAGAAATGTGAATTTACTTCTGATTGACATCTGTGTTTTGTTAATAGATTATGAAGCAATTGTGAAGCTTTCTGATGGCTTTAATGGAGCGGACTTAAGAAACGTCTGTACTGAAGCAGGTACGCTCTTAATTTTGCTGGGCTCGTTTGATCGATGCTGATCACTCCAGCTGTTTCCCACACTCTGCTGTGAGTGGATTAAAACCAGGAAGTTGGGACTGTTGTACTTACATTTGCTTTGTGTATCCGTTTCTTAAGGATGGTTTCATCCTCTTCCCAGAGGGTTGATTTTATTAATTGCATAAAAGAGATGTGTGAAGGTTTGTGCAGGGGGTGTCAGGCAGATCCCTTCTGCTTTCATCTGAACACCGTGTTCTCAAGGAGCACCAGCTTACTGCCCAATTATTTCTTGCAGGTATGTTTGCCATCCGTGCTGACCATGACTTTGTAGTTCAGGAAGACTTCATGAAGGCTGTTAGAAAAGTGGCTGATTCCAAGAAGCTGGAGTCCAAGCTTGACTACAAACCTGTTTAAATGAACCGTGCCATTTGTGATTGATTGCGCAGGGAGCTGGGTTGATGTATAAAAAGAGAAATAATGCATAATACAAACATAAGGTGTTTGTATAACGTGTGGCTAGTAATTTGGTAACACTGCTTGCAAGTGTGGGGCTACATAAGCATTTTCTGTGCAATTCTGAAATACAAAATTCATTACAGCCCAGGTTAAGGAAAGGTGTGGAGGTGTGTTCTCATAGCATCTGCCGTGTGAGTGTATAAACCTGCCTCAATGGTTTAGCAGACTTAAAGTTCATTTCTTGACTTTTTTTTTTATATCAGTAAATTTCATTCCATCAAACAATGGAATAAAACTTGTTTAAATCAGCTTATCCCAGTGTGCTTTCATAGCATCACAGAACGGCCTGGGTTGCACAGGAGCACAGTGCTCATCCAGCTCCAAGCCCTGCTGTGTGCAGGTCGCCAACCAGCAGCCCAGGCTGCCCAGAGCCACATCCAGCCTGGCCTTGAATGCCTGCAGGGATGGGGCATCCACAGCCTCCTTGGGCAACCTGTGCCAGCGCTGTCCTTGCTGTGTGTGTCTGGCATGGCTGCAATCTGGCCTTGTGTGAAGCTGACTTTGTGCTCCCTAGGAATTCTGCAGCTGTTGGAGTGATCGTTCAGATGGAAATGAAACCTTGGTAAAGATGTTCCTTTCCTTAATGCCATCTATCAGTGTGCATTATCCTCGTGGGCTCTGCTCAGAGGGCTGTGCGTGGAGCTGGGTGCACAGCGCAGCCATGGTGCGGCATTAGACAGGAGCAGCAGTGCACCAGCCTCTACTTCTGGCTACTTCTCATTATTCTAATTGGATTACTTCAGGCACGCTTGGCTGACAGACAAACATGTCAGGTTAACCCCTGGTTTGCTGCAAAGCAGTGCTGAGTAGCACCTCTGTGGGAGTGGTTTGTTCCCCATTGAAATGTGGAGGTTGGTGGCCCTGCATGGCACAGGGGGGTTGGAGCTTCGTGATCCTTGAGGTCCCTTCCAACCCGGGCCGTTCTGTGATTCATCCTGCGGGGCACATCAGAGGCAGTGGAGGTGCGGGACGGGCACGGCTCTCACTCGGAAAGCCCTTCCTGCCTCGGCACGCCGGGCTTGAATCGATCCCGGCTCCGCACGGGTCGCCGCCGCCGTTCGCACAGACGGAGCCTGCCGTCACCGCGGCTCGGGGTCGGTCCCGCTGCGGGTGCCGGGCGGTTGGGCCGTTCGGAAGGGGCGGCAGCGCGGGGCCGCGTCCCTCCTCACACCGCCCTCGGGATGGCGGGGCGGGGCCCGGGGGCGGAGGAGGAGGAGGAGGTGGAGACGGAGGAGGAGGAGGCGGCGGCACGGCGGCAGCATGGCGGCCAGGAGCGAGCGGCTGGGAGCGCCGCCGCCTCCCCCGCTTCCCCCCGCCGCCCCCGAGCCGGAGCCCGCCGGGACGCTGCCCAAATAGCCGCCCCGCCCGGCCCCGCCCCGCACGGAGAGCGCCCGGCCATGGAGCTCGCCAAGCCGGCCTTCCCCGCGCTGCCGCAGGCCAAGGAGGATTCGGAGGTAGGGCGGCCCGGCCGGGGTCGGGGGGGGGCGCCGCCCGCGGGATCTCCGCGCCCGACCGACGGGTCCGCGGCTCCGCCGCCCGGCACCGCGCCGCGCTCCGGCCTGTCCCCGCCTCGGGCCGCGATCCGGGCCGGCTCGGCCTCCGCGTGCGCCCGGGGAGCCCCGAGCTCCGGCCGGCTGGGTTGGGCGGTTGGAAGCCGGCGAGCACCTGCGCGTCCCCCGTCCGACAGTTGGCGCTTGCTCGCTTAGGAGCGAGTTGGTGAGCGGGCGGGCTGCCCGAGCGCCGGCTGTGGCTCCGGACAGCTGCCGGCCGGCGCGGCTCAGCACCGTGTCTGAGTGCATTGCCGTGCCGTCACGCCGCTGCTCCGCGTCCCGCAAACGGGAGCGTCTGTTACTGCATCAGTGGGATCAGTTGTGCTGTGGGAAGCGTGCGCTGCTCTTTGGACTCGTTTCTAATTGGAAGCCGGGTTATAACGCAGTGCTAAGCGGGTTTTGTGTCTCGTTTCCGTAATCTCTCAACGACACAACGTGTGTAATGGTAGAGCTTCCATTTCTGTGGAACCGTAGCGGGGAATTTCAAGGGCAGTGTTGAAAACCTGGAAGTTATTTCGTTTTTCAGCACTTAGCTTTGTGTCTGACCCCAGCACTGCAGCTGGAGCGTGTGGGGGAAGCAGAAAAGTTGTAGTCGGTGTGCAGATATCCAGGCTGGCTGTGCAAGAACTTCTGAAGCACAGGGTGAGAGCTGACAGCCCCAGGCCTCCAGCACAGCTCTTGAGAAGATGCTTTGGAAGAGGAAACTGAAGCCGTTCTGCCTCCAAACTGGTGGAGAGCTGAGGGTCGAGCCCTGCATCTTGCTGCCAGGAGGCTCTTTAATCAGAAGCACACGAGTGTTGTTTGCAGGGGGATGGCTGTGTGCGGTTTGGTGCTGTTTTGGTAGGTTGGACTTTGAGATATTGATGGGAAAGAGGTTGAGCTCGGGCAGTGCCTGCTTCTGGTCCTGCTGTAGGCTGCCCGAGGGCAAGTGCAGCTCTGTGCTCGTGTTCAGGTGTTTCCAGTGCCTGCCTCTTTGTCCTGGCTGACACTGGGACAATCTGTTATAAACAAAGCAAAAAAGCCAAATTGGTGAGCTGATAGGATTGCCTGCACAGCTTTGCTGTAGCGCTGGCCTAAGGATGAGTGAGAGAGTGGACAAGGCTGTCTGCTGGGTGACTGATGGCAGCCTGTGGTTGGGTTGGCTTAAACAGTGAAGAGCTGTAGCGAAACAGACTGAATTTTTCTGCCCTGCAGGTGGTTTGTGATGTCCCTAATCTGTATGTAGTATGGATCCCTGCAGGCGTTCGAGGCCAGGCTGGATGTGGCTCTGGGCAGCCTGGTCTGCTGATGAGCGACCCTGCACACAGCAGGGGGTTGGAACCAGGTGATCATTGTGGTCCTTTGCAACCCAGGCCATTCTGTGGTTTTTGAACTCCTGGCCTCAGCCAGCAGTACCTGTAGGAGTTTGTGAAATGCTGTGTTGGGACACGCTGCCGGAATGTGCCTGCTGGAGGGAGCCCTGCCTGCCTCCTCCTCATCCCAAACCTGATAACATCAGCGGAATTGACAGGCCAGAAGTTTGCTCTGATTGCTCTGTGACGTGTGCTGCTTTCTTTTCCTGTAGCTCGTGTGTACTTAGGGCTCATTCAGGCAGTGAAAGCATGTTTGCTACAGGTCAGGCACAGACAGGTACATGCTGGTGTCTGCCACGTGTTGCTGTGAGGCTGTGTCGGCTTCTCCCAGTCCTGCTGTCCCAGCTGCAGCCTGGCTGTCTGTCCAGCCCTGCAGTGTGAGCTGCTGAAGCCCAGAGGTGCCAGCTTCCCTTACTCTCTGGTAAGCCCATGCCAAGAGCTGCCCTCCGTTCTGCAGGTCCTTATGCCAGTTGGTTTGTTCCAGTTTTGTTTCCAGTAGGTGCTCTGAGTGTCTGTAACGATGCACGTTGTTTTATAGATCAGTGACAGCAAATGTGTCAAACCCTACTGGTAATACCGATTGAACATAGCCTAGAAGAGGTTTCTGTGCTTAGGTTGGTTAGGTGTGGCCTAAAAATTCCATAAATCTCAGGAATGCTGGCATTTCTCTCCCTGTGTAAAGGCTGGCCCACAAAACAGATCTCGAGTTTTGCAGCGCATCACTGTGCAGTGAGTGCCTTGCACTCATGTGTTCCTGTATCCACACAGGGCATAAGCACTGTGCCTCTCCTGTAGTGTAGAGTCATAGAATGTCCTCAGTTGGAAGGAACTCATGAGGATCATCAAGTCCAACTTATAAAGGCTAAGAATCATAAAATCATATCACAGAATGGCCCGGGTTGGAAGGGACCTCAAGGATCACGAAGCTCCAACCCCCCTGTGCCATGCAGGGCCACCAACCTCCCCATTTCACAGCAGCCCAGGCTGCCCAGGGCCCCATCCAACCTGGCCTTCAACACCTCCAGGGATGGACGGGGCATCACAGCCTCTCTGGGCAGCTGTTCCAGCACCTCACCACTCTCACAGCACACAACTTCCCCCTGACATCCAACCTCCATCTGCCCTCCCTCAGCTTCAAACCATTTCCCCTTGTCCTGCCATTATCTCCCCTTTCACAGAGTTGAAGGAGCTAAGGAGCTTCTAGAAGAGGGTCGGGTTGGTAGCAGTGCCTGCTGCTGTATGGGTGCAATGCCACATCACAGCGTGCTTGGAGAGGTGGCATAGGGCTGGAATGGTTCAAGGAATTTAATGTCAGTTATTCTTATCCTTTGAAATAATTTACCCCATCCCTGCAGGCATTCAAGGCCAGGCTGGATGTGGCTCTGGGCAGCCTGGGCTGCTGGTTGGTGACCTGCACACAGCAGGGGGTTGGAGCTGGATGAACACTGTGCTCCTTTGCAACCCAGGCCATTCTAGGATGCTATGAAACCTTAAATGAAGAACGATAGTGGTGGGATATATGATGGGAACACAGCAGTCATTGCCCATTTATTATTTTTCTTCGAACACCAGTGTGTTTGCCTGCAAGCAGGCTGAGCATCAACTAGTATTTGTGATCAGGGCTCTCCATGCTTTTGGTAGTGGAAGTATCAGCTAGGTGGCTAAGTAGTCAATTTGCCTTTCTTATTCTGCATGTAAAAATGAGCTCTCTTTAGCCCATGCTTTTTTAAAGAAATGTTCATTTCCATTCTGCTATATTTAGCCCAAAGCATTACCTGATGTCTGACTGCTTTCAAACAGTGCGGCGGCACAGGCTGACTGAAGGTGGAACAAATTCCCTGAGCTTTCTTCCTCTTACCATCACTAGAAAACCCCTTAACTAAAACTACAGCTCTCCCCCTCGTCTGCAGGCTGTGGAAAAGAAGTAGGAAGGCTTGTGGTGGTGTGCATTCTGCCTGCCCACAAAGCAGAGCAGAGGGTATTTCAACCCATGCTGTGCCAACAGGCTGGGGCCCAGCTCACCTGTGAGCAGAGGGGGCACAAGAAGGGTTGTGTCCAGCTCTCCTGACGTCATGTAATCTGAATGTCATCCTTCTGTCTGCTTGGTACTGATAGAATTTGTTTGCAGGAGTCTCAGTTTCTGCACGACAAAGCCAAAAAATGGAGCAGCCCTGCCACTTGGCCACGTGCTTGGTGTAAGCAGAGCTCTGCCTTCGCTGCTTTGGTAGCTCTGTGTGTTTTCAAAAGCATACGATTCTCAATACAGGAGAGACAGGAAGCTGCTGGAGTGCATCCAGAGGAGGGCCACAAAAACGGTCCCAGGGATGGAACACCTCTCCTGCAGGGCAGGCTGAGAGCTGGGGCTGTGCAGCATGGAGAAGAGAAGGCTCCAAGGGGATCCAATATCTAAAGGGGAGCCACAGGAGAGAAGGGGACAGACTCTTTAGCAGGGAATGTGGGGACAGAACAAGGGGAAAGGGTTCCAAGCTCAAAGAGGGGAAGTTCAGGTTGGATACAAGAAAGAAGTCTTTTGCAGTGAAGGTGATGAGGCACCGAGCAGGTTGTCCAGTGATGTGGTGGATTCCCCATCCCTGGAGGCTTTCAGGAAGGCTGGATCAGGCCCTGGGCAACCTGATCTGGCTGTGGTGTCCCTGTGCATTGCAGGGGAGTTGCAGTGGAAGAGCTTTGGAAGCTTAAAAGAAGGAATGTCAGCCTCAGAAAACTGCAGCAAAGTGCACTGAAGCTGACTTAGAGCACTCTTAGAAGGAAATGGAATGGGAGAGCCAGGGAGAGTGAGGGGATGGGTGTGTTATCAGCTCCCTGTCTGCTGCCAGCTCAGGCTTTCCCACATGGCAGAGAGGTGGCTGACAGGGCTCTGCTCTTTAACACGTCACTTCAGGTAACAAATTCTGGGTAGTGACATAAGGGCATCGTAAAGGCAGTGTGGTTGTGATGGATTGGTAGGAGGAGCTGTGAATTGAGAGCTCAGCTCTGCTGGGGGGCATTTTGCATCATTTTGCATACCGTAATCTCGTTAATCATGTTAATTTTTGAAAGCCTCTCCGTGTTGTCAGGAAATGGACACCAACTAGGAGCAATTCTGCCCTTGGATAAAGACAGCATTTAATCTGAGATAGCATCTTTTAGATGCTTGCTTTGCAGGGTAATCCCCAGGAAGCTGCACCTTTTTGGACTGTGCTCAAGCCAAACGTCTGGGGCCAATACTGACTCCCATTCTTGTTCTGAACATCTGTGGCATCTGTCATGCTTTGGGTTGTGTGTTCCTTTGGACTTGGTACTGCTGAGCTCTCGCCTCCTGGCTTTGCACAGCCCCAGCTGTGGTGACAGCCCCAGCTCCCTGCTCTCCACGTGATGGAGAGGAACTTGTGGACACAGTGAGTCCCCTTCACCAAAGCGCTGATGAATTCATGTTTTCATTTCACTCCAGATGAAGGCTGTAAATTTTCCAGGTATATAAATAGAGTAGTAAACACACTTGTGTGCTCCTGCAGAGTAACTTCAGCTTTTCAGAAGTGATTTCTCATTGCACTGTTTGAATACTTGGACAAACCCAGGATTCCCTTGCTTCTTGATGAACACGTTACGCTGCCTCACGTGCAGTGAAGTAGCAGGGTTGTGTTCACACACCCTCAGGTCAACCTCCATCCTGCTGTCCCACATCTGCTGTGTTGGGATGGCTGTGGGGTGAGGGCAGCGGGTGCTGTAAGAAAGGACAGGAACAGAATGTAAGGAAGGATTTTCCCTGTTAGCTTTGGCTGCTCCACAAAACAGATCTCGACTTTTGCAGCACATCACTGTGCAGTGAGGGTGCTGTGCTTTGCACTCACGTGTTTCCGTATTCACACAGGGCTTATAAGCACTGTGCCTCTCCTGTAGGATGCAACCTACAGAGGGAGGCCTTGTCTTCATATAACTGATCTCTGCTTGGCTTTGTTTTTCCCTCCCTGTGCTCACAGAACTATTTTTGCTTTCTTTGAAGGATTGGACCTATCCCATGAGGAGAGAGATGCAGGTATGGCACACTTTCCTTTTTTGTTCAAGTCAAAACCCTCGGTGCCCTCTGTATGAAAAGGAAAGTGCCCTACAAACAAAAGCTGCTGTCAGGATTGATCTTCAGGGGTGAAGTACAAACACTGTAGTTTGTTATAGAATCCTAGGATGGCTTGGGTTGCACAGGAGCACAGTGCTCATCCAGCTCCAAGCCCTGCTGTGTGCAGGTCGCCAACCAGCAGCCCAGGCTGCCCAGAGCCACATCCAGCCTGGCCTTGAATGCCTGCAGGGATGGGGCATCCACAGCCTCCTTGGGCAACCTGTGCCAGTGCCTCACCAACCTCTGGCTGAAAAACTTCCTCCTCATATCCAACCCAAACCTCCCCTGTCTCACTTTAAAACCATTCCCCTTGTCCCATCACCATCCACCCTCACACACAGCCGTTCCTCTCCTGTTTATCCGCTCCCTTCAAGCACTGAAGGCCACCATGAGGTCTCCCTGCAGCCTTCTCTTCTCCAGGCTGAACAAGCCCAGCTCCCTCAGCCTTTCCTCATAGGAGAGCTGCTCCAGCCCTCCCATAGAATGGCTTGGGTTGGAAGGGACCTCGAGGATCAAAGCCTTGTCTCCATGAGTGTTGTAGCAGATGGTTGCTGGAGCTACGTATTGCAGCTTTGCTTTTTAACTTGAATTCTGGGGCTGGTAGTAATCAAACTGGAATTTATTCCGAATGAAGGACTGAATTCCTGTTCCACAAGAAGATCCTCTGCATGCAGATCATGTTGCTTTTATTTTTGCCAAACTGACTTTGTCCCCTTGTCCCATGGGAGGTGTGGCTGGGTGATGTCCCTCGCTAACATCTCAGTTATTTGTTTCCCTGCCCGTGGTCTGAGTGCAGTGCAGTGTGTTATTTCAAATCCTGTTGCCTTGATATTAAATGTCTGTTTTCTGCCCCCCCCTTAGGAAATTTTACCTGGGTTATTTTTAGGCCCATACTCTTCAGCTATGAAAAGCAAGGTATGATTTTCAGAACAGTATCTCCCCAGGGAGCTTTGCGATACGTCCGAGTGTGTGTGTATCTGTGGAGGCACACGTTGGGTTGCAGCATTCATGCAGCCCTGTGGCACCTTCCCTGCAGGGTGCAGGCAGCACGTGGTGCATTTAAGGGCTGCTTTCTTAGCCCTGGGGGCTGGTATCGATTCCTTCCCCTTTCCAGAGAAGGTCTGAACACTGCAGCCATGCAGACACTTGCAGAAGCTGCATTTATTTAACGATCCTGAGAGCTAATGGGTTACCTTGGGGTGGGGGGAGGTGGAAATAATTTCAAGGGAAACCAAAAGGGGGGCACAAACAAGTTCCCTGAGCACCTTTATTGCCTGCCCCTTTATCACTGTTAGAAATGCTTTTCTTGCAAGTTCTAACCTTTGTGGTGTTTTCTCTTTTTAAACACACATGTATCCCCATTTTGTTTCACACCATGCTTTGAATGTCAGAAAAGCAGCTCTGATTTCCCTTGAGGACTTGGTGTCACTCATTATGTATTAAAGTATGACTTTTCTTTTAATGGCCGTGTAATGGATGGATTCAGCAGCCTAAAACAAAAATCTTTTCCTTTTTTTGCAGCTACCTATACTTCAGAAGCATGGAATAACCCATGTAATATGCATACGGCAAAACATCGAAGCCAATTTTATTAAACCAAACTTCCAGCAGCTATTTAGGTGAGAAACAAACGTGATGTGCTGACCTGAAAGCAGTTGATAGTCTGATTTTAAACACCTTATTCTGTATTGATAAGATTGTGTGTGTGTGTGTGTGTGTGTTCTTTGCAGTGGTTTGAGCCATGTGGGTTATCCTGGTGTCCTGCAGGTTGCAGTGTTACTGTGTGCTCACACACTGGAACACTGTGTGCTCAGTGACTGTTCTCGTTGCAGGTATTTAGTCCTGGATATTGCAGATAATCCAGTTGAGAATATAATACGATTTTTCCCTATGGTAAGTGTTGGTTAATGGGAGTGGGTTGGGAATAGGGCTGCCCAGTGAGATCGTTATGAACCAAAACATGCATGGTTTCAGATGTGGGGAACCCAGCCTGAGGCAGGTGAAGGGCTCTTAAGTGACCTCTTATTGCCCCACTAGCAAGTGTGATCAGCTTGTTCCTACAGGTAGGGAAGTGAAGGTGGAATTACAAGAGCTGTACTTTGTGATGGCCCCAAAAGAAGACAGTTCATGGGAGAATAATAGTTATTTTGGAAACCCTTGTCCTAAAGGAAACTGGTATCTTGGGCTCCATCAGCAGAGGGGTGGCCAGCATGGACAGGGAGGTGATTGTCCCTCTCTACTCTGCCCTCATGAGGCCCCTCTGCAGTGCTGTGTCCAGGTGTGGAGCCCCCAGGATAAGAAGGACAGGGAGCTGTGGATGCCCCATCCATCCCTGGAGGTGTTCAGGGCCAGGTTGGATGGGGCTGTGAGCAACCTGTTCTAGAGGGAGCAATCTCTGCCTGTAGCAGGGAGTTGGAGCTAGATGATCCTTGCGGTCCCTTCCAATCCAAACCATTCCATGGTTCTGTGCTTTATTGCTACTTGGAACCTTCCCCACAATAAAAAATGCAGCTTTTGCTGTTCATTCGGTGAGCTGTTTCAACCTGGTACTGTTCTGCAGGCCTCACTGGATCACGTCATGCCTTATTAGATTGCTTAGAGCTGCTTTTGTAATTGAAAATGTCATTGGAGAGCCTTGGGGGGACACAGGCAACAGCAGTGCGGTCCAGGCCATGCTGGTGTTGATGCTTGTGGTTTCTCCTTGCCCCACAATGTCCACCAAAGATGTCTGGAAGGTGCTTTGTATCACAGTGCCCTAACGTGCCTTGCTGCATCTCACTGACTGTTTTATGGGTGATGAGAAGCTGTAGTTCAAATCAAAATGCTCAGCTGAACTGAAGTCTAAGCCTGCGTAAATAAATCGAATGGTTGTTGCTGTGTGTGAAGAGCAAGGCAACAAATTCTGCAAGCAGTAGGAACATCTGTAAGAAATCCAGAAGTTTGAGTCTTTTGATGGTTGTTTTTTTTCCCCTCTCTTTTTAGACTAAAGAATTTATTGATGGAAGTTTACAAAGTGGAGGTAAATCAGACTGATTTTCCCTTTATTGACCAGTACATTGCTCTTAAAGCTTTAAAGCCTTGAAGATGTGTGTGGTAGATGCTCTTAAATATGAAGCTTTCTTAAATTTAGGGGGGTGTAATTTTGTTTGACTTGAACTGGTTACACAAACTCAGAGTCAGCTGTTCTTTTCCTCTTTTGATTTCAACTGCAAAACAAACCTCTTCATACATCTTCCCTTCATTTGAGACGTGTGTGTTCCCCAATGGAGAGCTTAAATCTGCACTGTGGTCCCAGGATGCTGATCCTGTTACTCAAAACCATCAGAGGAGTGAGGATCCACGTTTCTGTGTCCCAGAGTAGTGATGCACAGAGTGCATTAGTAGCAGACTGAAGTGTAACACACTCCTGCTATTCTCATGCTGTACTTTGCTGATGTGTAGTTGCTCATAACAAGTTAAAATGGTGTCTCAAAGAGCTTCCATTTGTACAAGTGTGGTTTTGGGTTTTTTCTTCCTCAGGAAAAGTTCTTGTCCATGGAAACGCAGGGATTTCTAGAAGGTAGGAAAATATCCATCCTGCTTATTATCGTTTTACTCTATTGGAATATATTTCAGTGACTTAGAAAAATGTGTTTTTATTTTTGTTTCAGTGCTGCCTTAGTTATTGCATACATAATGGAAACGTTTGGCGTGAAGTACAGGTGAGAGCAGGGTTTGTACAGGATGGTCTGTCCCATAGGGCAGAAGTAAGAGGGTACTTAAGAACAGAGAAGCAGTCTGATATATCTGTAGGAGTAACAGTTTTAATTCACGTGAATTGCAGTGGATGATAATCCTGGGGGCAATGCACAGTGCTGCACTGCCATATGAGCCAGTTGTTACCCCTGAGGCTGGGTGAAATCTTTCACATGGGGAAGATGATTCCATCTCCAGGTTTGCTTTCGCCCTTCCATGAAGAAGCAGGCACCTTCTGCTCAATGCAGCCCACACAGACCGGTGCCTGGCTGTCACACTCTGTAAGAGGGACCCATGTTTTAAGACATGTTTTAAGCTGCATGTTGACAACAAGCCAGCAAGTAGAAGGTTGGGGTGGGCAAAGAGCATGCTACAACTGCTGCCTTCTGTTCTGCCCAGAAACCTTCAGCTAAGCAAAGCAGTTCTGAGCAGGCTGTGTACTTCTCAGAACTGGTAACCTAAACTCCTGAAGCCCCACAAATCTGTCACAGTCTGTTTTCCACTCAAGTATTTTCTGTCTCCTTCTCTTGTTTAGGGATGCGTTTACTTACGTTCAAGAAAGAAGGTTCTGTATTAATCCTAATGCTGGATTTGTCCATCAACTTCAGGTGATGCTTTGTTCTTATTTCTTACTTCTGGGCTTGTTCAGCCTGGAGAAGAGAAGGCTGAGGGGAGACCTCATGGTGGCCTTCAGTGCTTGAAGGGAGCAGATAAACAGGAGGGGAACGGCTGTGTGTGAGGGTGGGTGGTGATGGGACAAGGGGAATGGCTTTAATGTGAGACAGGGGAGGTTTGGGTTGGATATGAGGAGGAAGTTTTGGAGCCAGAGGGTGGTGAGGCACTGGCACAGGTTGCCCAAGGAGGCTGTGGATGCCCCATCCCTGCAGGCATTCAAGGCCAGGCTGGATGTGGCTCTGGGCAGCCTGGGCTGCTGGTTGGCGACCTGCACACAGCAGGGCTTGGAGCTGGATGAGCACTGTGCTCCTGTGCAACCCAGGCCATTCCAGGGTTCTATTTTTCTAATTACATCTCAAAACTCATTTGTTGAGTCATCTTGCTACAAAACCAACTCTTCTGCTTAGGCTTAACTTTTCCTGTGAAGCTATGCTTTGAGTGAGTGTCAGGAATTGATAGCAGACCTGGGGAGGAAAATGAGCAGGTATCTTAGTTCATTAGATTTAAACTTTAGACAAAGAAAATCCAGGAATGGAAGATAACTGAAAACAGCTCTGTGCACAGTGGTTAAAAGGCTCTTGAAACAGCTTAGTTGGTGGCCAAGGAAAGTGCAAAGTGGGTGTTGTGGCACACATCCATGTTCCTTCTTGATGCTCCCATTCATAGATGATGAAGTTCAAAGGTCTGAAACCACATTTTTTCAATATCGTGGAAATCTTTCTCTGTTTCTTAAATTCATTTCTTGCCATCCTTTAGATTTTCTGTTGCTCTGCTTGCTTGATGCTTTTTGTTGTTCATATCAAAGCAGCAAAAAACTCTCCTGCTTTGAAACCTTCTGCCATTTCTGTAAGACACCTCCTGACGTGTCCCCTCCACCTCCTCACAGGGTATTGGACTGAATTAACAGCTATGTGTATTATTAAACTTTTTCAGGAATACGAAGCCATCTATCTAGCAAAACTGACCATCCAGATGATGTCACCGCTGCAGCTGGAGAGATCGCTCTCTGTTCCGCCTGGCACTACAGGTCAGCAGCCTCTTCTGTTGTGTGTGATGCCACCTGCTGACCCTGCTGGTGTGTGGGGGATGCTTCACACCCAAAGCAAGCCCCCAGCAGCAGAGAGTCATAGAATGGCCTGGGTTGGAAGGGACCTCAAGGATCACGAAGCTCCAACCCCCCTGTGCCATGCAGGGCCACCAACCTCCACATTTCACAGCAGCCCAGGCTGCCCAGGGCCCCATCCAACCTGGCCTTCAACACCTCCAGGGATGGACGGGGCATCACAGCCTCTCTGGGCAGCTGTTCCAGCGTCTCACCACTCTCACAGCACACAACTTCCCCTGACAGCCAACCTCCATCTGCCCTCCCTCAACTCCAAACCATTTCTCCTTGTCCTGCTGCCATCTCCCCTTGCCAAGAGCTGACTCCCCTCCTGTCTGCAGGCTCCCTTTAGGCACTGCAGGCTGCACTCAGGTCACCCCACAGCCTTCTCTTCTCCATGCTGAGAACCTCAGACTTTTGGGAAAGAGGTGTGTGTGCTCACTTGAAACAGAAGAGAAATTAAGTATGGGGGAGAGAAAATATTTGGGAAGCCCAAAAAATAGTGGGCTCCAAAAAACAACTTCTCCATGTGGAGATGGGTGAGGGAAGAGGAGTGCAGTGAGCAGCAGGCTGTCTCAAAGCTGAATGTCCTGACACATCCTCCAAGAAGACATTTCCAACTGTCCTGTAGCCCTACTCCCAGCCACGTGTTGTTACAGCTGATGCCTTTGTCTTCTCCTCCTCCTGCCTCTTTGTAGGAAGTCTAAAGCGAATGCATGAAGAGGACGAAGAGCTTGGAACCATGCAAGTGGCAGCAGCACAGAATGGATGAGGACAGCACTGTTTGCATTGTGAGCTCCTGCTGAGAAAGGTGAAGAAAACTAGGGGAAAAAAAGAGAACTAATGCAAAACGATGAACACACAGAGCTTCTTTTCAATTACATGTTGCTTTCAGATGTAAATCTGCCTCTGCAACACACTAAGCATCATTTTTAAGATGTTGGACTTCTTGAATGAATAGATGGCACTGATTGTTTTACTCCTTTTTTACACTTTACAGTTTTATTCTAAACCAAGATTTTTGGACTTGCAAAGAGGTATTATTGCAATAATGCACTTTTCATACTTGAAATTTCTTTATTTGTATGATATAAAGTTATTACTTTAAACAAAATGCAAGCTGGGGGGGGTTTGTTTATAAAGTTATTTGTGTAATTTATAACAAGAGACTTTAGTAAAGAAAAAGTTTGCTAAAATTCACTTTGTTCTCACTGTCTTATGGTCACACTCAGATACGTGTTTTACAAGCTGCACTGTGCACTGCTGTTGACAGTTGAGCAATGGCAGTGCTCTATTCAGCATTAACCCTTTATTTGGTTCTAAAATCTCATATGGAATTATTTTGAAGCTGGCACTGAGACCATATGAAGAGAGAATATTGTTCTAAAATTCTCTGCTTGTATTATGCAAGCTAGTTTACTTTACCAGAGTACTGGTTCCTGATTAGTTAATAAAACAGTCCTGTGCTAAATGAGTACAGGTGGCAGTTACTGATTTCCCAGGCACGAATGCTGTCAGAGCGTGGTGTTGACTGAGCAAATGGGGAAGCTGTTGGAATGAATGGGTCTGTTTGGGAAATGGGCTGTGAACAGCTGGGCTGAAGACAGGGGAATGAATATAGAAGACATTTGGGAGGCTGAGCACCCAGCTTTGTTCCCTGTACTGGTAGAGCTGTGTTCTGTCGGTCCTGGAATGAGCATCCTGTGCTGAAGGCAGAAGTGGCAGCTGGATGGGGGACTCTGTGGGGGCAGGTGTCTGTAAGGGCATGAATCTGAGCAGTGAGGATCTCTTCTGAAGCTGCCTTTTGCTGAAAGGCTGAGAGCTTGTTTACCCTGCAGGACTTCTGCCTCGGTGTATTGAAGGCAAGTGGAGCACACCTGGGACTTGTTGAGCTTTGCTTAGTCACTGATTCTCTGCCTTCTCTTGCAGTTCCCCAGAAGCTTTGCTGAGGGACAGTCCCTCCAGAGCAAGCCTGAACTTCTTAGCCTATGTCAAGGCTACTTAGAGACCTGTTACAAATAGCAGATTCTGGCTTGAAAACTACTGCCTGGATTAAAGCGTGCTGCTGGAACAGATGCTGGTGACAGCTGAGGAAATCTTCCTGCAGTAAGTCAAGGCTTTTAGTTGAGCCAGGACACCTGGGCTGAGGCTTTGTAGCCTGACAGTCTCTCATGTGTAAGGTGAAGGCCCTGTGTCACTCAGGGAGCTTCAGTGGAGCTGGGAGAGCAGCACTTTCCCTTTATTGCCATTTGTCCTGTGCTGTGTGCTTCAGTGAAGAAGTTATGTAAATTCTTCAGAAAAAAAAAAAGTCTTTGGAAAACGTATTGTGCTTGAGTCAGGAAACTTCCAGCTTTAAAAGAACAGCTTTGAGGCTGTTGGGAAATGAAATCCTCAGGCACCTCACCACTTAGGCTCCAATGCTCCCAGTTGGCTGTGCAGTTTGTGGATGCCTCCCTCGTGCAGCAGACACCAACTGCTGCCAGCTGCAAGCTTCTCATGAAGCAGGGCTGGGAAACAGAATTTCTGAGTAAAGCTGCTTCCTCCTTCAGCTCCCACGGGCCTCCTTGGGCAAGAGTAGAGATGAAACACAGACAAAAGAACGCTGCTGATTCATCCAACCATCCCCTGCCAGAGAGCCTTATTCATGTCTAGTCTGGTTCTGTTACCTCACTGGGGTCCTGCAGTTTCCTTGGGGAGACTGTCTCACCAACTGTTAGGCTTCATGACTAAGGATTTCCCACCAGTTGTCTTTTCACTCCATTACCACCTTCCTCTGACTGCTGAAGTCGTTGTGGCGTGTGCCTGCTGCCCTGCAGATAACAGCCTCTCAGATCCAAAGGGATTCTGAGATGAGATTTTCTCTTACATACTACTATGTAGCTTTGTATTTGAAGCTGTCATTGCTTGCTTCTTGATAGTAGGTATTTCAATTACCATTTGCTTTCTGAGGTTAAACTAGAGGTGGCATTTGGCAGCAAGCATCCCTGCCTGGGGTCTTTGGGTATCACTGCAGGCTGAACTTTTTTCCCTCCTCAGATTCAGAGGTACAGTTGCAGCACTGAAGTCTTTGTATTCCACAACTGTATGTTAAGGTAGAAGAGTTCCCTTTCCATTTTAGGGGAAGCTGGGTGAAGGAAGGAGCTAGAGATGGCATACTGTGTGTGGAGAGCTACAAACCAAGGACTGGAGGCTTAAGGAGCAGCTAACATTGAGCTTTGGAGAATCTGGTGGTGAAGTCCAAGCTATTGGAAAGCATCTCCCTGTTTGATTTCTGACAGCATCTGTGGTTCCTTTGTTCTCCCAGGAGGCCTTGTCCCTCCTTTTGAGCCTGTGCTGCTGTAGATAAAGTAGTTCTATCCGTTCAAAAGACACAGTGTAATTGAGTATCTCCTGCTTCTGTTGCTCTTAGTGGCAATTGCCAGTTCCTGTGAACTGACAGATGAAAATGCATGTGCCATGTATTCTTCCAGCTGGCTGAAACTGCAGTGACATTTGTATGTCACTAGCCAGACTGTTAGCACCCCTCAGAGCATCTGCCAGCACTTAACAGAGCCATTCCTTACCATGCAGGGTTGGTGGTGTGCTGAATAACTTGTTGAAGTCTCATTTCTGCCCTACAGCTTTCACACTTTTCCTCCAGAGGGATTGCTGACAGTTCAGCAGTTAAACTGCACCTTTCCTCACACAGCACAGCTCTTCTGTACCTCCAGCCATCCCCAAAAGGTGAGGCTGCCAAGGTTGGCAATGTCATCTCTAATACAGAGCAGAGGGCCCTTCCGTGTTAAAGCAGGATTCCTCCCAGCAGAACAGAGCCATGCAGCCACAAAACCGAGCTTTCAACCTCATTCATTTGTTTTACAATGATCTCAGCTGAGTACATCTCACCCGCTCCTCACTGGCACTAATCATTTCATTAGCTCTTAATGAGAGCCTAGAGCTACTGAGATGGCACAGTATCACAGAGCTCACATCATCCACTTCAAAGTAGTGGAAGTGCAGAACTGATTTAAACAGGGAGAAGCAAAACACTCCACGTTGCTCACAGGGGTCAGCACACATCAGCAGATGTTTTATAGTTCTATAGTTCTCTAGCTGCTTTCAGCTGTCAGCAGAGCCCCAGTTCCCCCTCAGGTACACACAGCCCTAGGAAATGGGTGCCCAGGCTTAACTGCAGCTTAGCAGAAAGTGGGTGAGAAGCTCCAGTCTGGCTCCTGAGGCATGCAGGGCTCAGAGCTGGACTTGCTCTCATTTTCTCACCACTCCTGGCAGCCTGTGGCTGCATCTGTAAGCAATCAAGCTGTGCAGATGCACACCTCAGGTTTCGTGCCTTCCTCTAAAGGCATCCACGAAAGGCATCTTGCTTCACAGACATCATGCTTCATGAGGTGCCATACTTGAAATCAACATGAAGACTCAAAAAAAAACAAAGTTCAGTTCAGAAAAGCAGATCGAAGGTACAGCAGTATCAAAAGCAGAGCAGATGTAGTTGGCAGTCTTAATTTATTCAGCTTAAACAAAGATTTTTTAAAAAAATAATCAATAAATAAACCAGGCATTACCAAGGGGACACTGTATTGAGTACCATCAGGGACATTAAACAGAACCCCCCCACACCTTAAAGTAGCTCTCCTCACCACAAGGAAAGGACTTTCCTTAAGGCCTGTTCACAAACAAGGCTGGCTGCTCTGTGCCAACCTTTGCCTATTCATAATGCCCTATTCACAGATGGAGGATTTGTCATCCTTGCACAAAACACGATTGTTGAAGTGAGGGCTTCGTATATTATTTGCTTGCCTCTGGGGGCAAAAGTGCTAAAATCATTTATCCAATCTTACAGAAGAGGGATGCTTGCAAACAGCAGCTATCCCTCAGGACACTGATCTGGGATCTCGGGGCTGGTTTGAAATGCAATAGGTAGAAGTGGTTACCAGCAAAACCAGAGCTGAACTGGCCCAAAGGAGTTCAAGTACAGCAAGTTGGTTGGATGCGTTGGGTGAAGCTGAATGTGTTGGTACCTTCTTATAGGTACAGGCATTGGCATTCCCACTGAGTACCAGTAAAAGCCCACTGGAGATGAGGTGTATTCTGCCTGTCAGACATTCCAGCTTCCTATTTCTGTTGCAAATCATGGGTTGGTTTGTCATAAAAACATAATTGTCCTGAAAACATATTAAGTTATCAGCTAAAGTGCAGGGTCCCTGCATGGAGGACTATGCATCCATTTAGGCTCCAAAACATTGGCTTCAACAGAGCCCATAAGGATCCCCCAACGACACTAACAGCAACAAATCCAGTTTCAGAAAGCAGTGCCTATAAAACTTCAGGTACACGAACATCAACAGCACTTCAGTGAGGTTTCATGGAAAGAACAGAACAAATTCCCATCCTGTAGTACTGACTGCATACGAGAAGCATCCCTACCCACCTACACCACCCTTCATTGAAGTACAGACAGGAGCACAACCCCACAAAGCTGTACTTTGGCTACCAAGAAGAGAAGCGCAAACCTTTAGAAAAATACAATGCAAGAAAAGATTTGAGATAAAAATATAGACCTTTGGTTAAAAACCATCCCTTAACAAGAGTCCTTTGAACTCAGCTAGAACAAAAAAAGCTTCACTTAGACTGAACAGTAGTAAAAATTAGTTCTAAGAGCTAACCCACAGAACCCTCCTAGAATGTCAGTACGCTGCCTTTTCTTTGCAGGATTTACACGTCTGATGTTCAGGATTTATAGGGATCGTTATATCTGCAGCAATAAACTATATCAATTTGTCATGAAGAGAATGTACCACGAGCTCCTCCACCAACAGTCTGTACGAAAACAGTGCTGCAAGTTCTTAATTAAAGAACCGTTGAAACATGTAGTTTTCTTCAGATACCAAATAGCCAAACTTCTTGTAGAAGGCCACGTTTTTTGGCAGACACTCGAGTGTGATTTTGTAACAGTTCAGTCTCTTACTTAGCAGTGTAAGAGTGGACGTTAATCTGAAAAAGACAGAAGAACAGCAGTTAAGTGGGATGGCCCTGAACACAGGAAGGCCCAACAGTTAATTAGCTAAAAGATATCAATGACACTTTTTAAAGGAGCACAGCGCTCATCCAGCTCCAACCCCTGCTGTGTGCAGGTCGCCAACCAGCAGCCCAGGCTGCCCAGAGCCACATCCAGCCTGGCCTTGAATGCCTGCAGGGATGGGGCATCCACAGCCTCCTTGGGCAACCTGTGCCAGTGCCTCACCACCCTCTGGCTCAAAAACTTCCTCCTCATATCCAACCCAAACCTCCCCTGTCTCACTTTAGAACCATTCCAGTACACTTAGTGGTCCTGCTTTGATCCTATGCCTTCTGTAGAAAGCAGTACTCCAGATATCTGTTGATTTTTCCACTGGAAACATTTGGCAGACCCACCTACATCACCTACTCACTGATGCCTACTGACCACAGGGCAGCCCTTCCCCACCTTTAGACATAAAGTACTGAAACATTACAGCAACCTGTGTTTCTCTTCAGTACAGGCAATAGCTGCTATCCCAAGGGGGAAAAAAAAAAAAAAAGCAGCAGTGGTTTGTAGGCAATTTTATGTTAAAACTTCAGTGGTGACTTTTTAGCAAAAGGTCTGTGAGCTGTCTGGCTGCAGAACATCTGCCCCACTAACCTGCAGAACTGAAATCCCGCTCCAAGATCCTTCAGTGCCTACCGAGGGCAAAGGACAGACAGATGGCATCCCGAGAGCAGCAAAAGGGATGGGCTAAACTTCAAACATCAGCCACTCACAGCTGACTTCTGTCCTGTCACACTGATGGCAGCTGCAAACCTTCCTCTTCTCAGAGAGCTCCTGCACTGACATCAGTCATCACCACTGCAGTGTTTGCTGGCACTGATCAGCACGCCCAGACTGGGGGGCAGAAGCTCCGTGAGGGCTTGCTGCTCTGCCTGGTGTTGAATTGCAAAGGTAACAAATACTTACAGTTTGCCGAGTTGCTTTCCTCTGCACTCCCCGCTCACTACTACGTCTTCTATCCTCCCTCTCTGTGAAGATACAGACAAGTGTTAGTGCAGCACAACAGCAGTGTGCAGTCTCCCCCCCTGCTCAAGGCTCCACGCCTGCATTTTCTCCTGTCTTGTCAGACAATTCCTCCACAAACTGATGCCCTCATCACTGACTCAGCAGAAGGTATTTCATCACACAGTAACAAGGTAAAAATAACACGTGTCTGCTGGAAACACTGCCTTCTTCCTCACCACAGCTGCAGCCAGAGGAGATACCTTTGCACAGGAGTGAGTGAACTTGTGTTCTATCACCAACGTTGCTGTAGCAACGATCTGTCCAAGATTCGTATCTTCTACAACCGTAACGTAATAATCTCCAGATTTCTTCATGTGCTCAAAGGTTTCTGTGGGAGCAGACAGACAGAACACTGTTAGCCTCCGATTAATTTGCTGAATTCTGAACGCAGATCAGATTCTGAATGCTGAGATCTGAATTCAGGATCACAAAGTGTGCACCTGAGGCACCCAGGACCTTAAAGCCCCAGTCAGATTTTCCTGGCTTCTATCTCAGGGTTAAGCAGGAATGACCTGGAATGGCCTGGGTTGAAAAGGACCATAATGATCATCAACACCCTGCTATGTGCAGGGTCACCAACCACCAGACCAAGCTGCCCACAATGAAGAACCTGCCTTTTCCCTAACCACCAAGAGAACCCTCCCTGCTCAGCAGATGGGTGCCAATGAAGGCAGCAGCACCTCCTGTAAGCTTACTTATCTCTCAGTCAGAGCAGTGAAGCAAGCTCAGAATGTCACCGAGCTGCAATCAAAGGCAAACTTCTGCTTCAGCCAAAAGAAGCCACCACCCAATGCTCCCTCCTGCCACGCATCGAAAGCTCAGCCTCAAAAGCAGGTATACAACTTAAACACATCCCAGCCAAGAAGCCCCTCAGGATAACTGCAGCTGAATACAAAGCTGAGTGCCAGAATCTGCCTCAGGGGACACAAGATAATAAATCCCTCTGCATCACAGCCAGGTAGATTGCTGTCAGCATCACTGTCTCCTGGTTCTCAGCAACCTCTACGAAGTGCCAAGACACGATGATATACTCACTGATAAACTGCTCCGGGCTCACAACTCCAGTTTCAGTCAGCTGACCCAGGACCTTGAAAAAGCCTGTTACAGAAGAGGAAAAAGACTCACTGCAGGGCAGAGACATGCAAATAGCACAGAACAGCTTGACATGGCTGTCTGCAGAGCTCACTTCCCCATGGCATCACCTAGTTCAGCTGTATCTAAAGGCCTGTGCTCTGCATATTACAGACCTGGACTGTAATCTTAAAATCAAACTCACACCTTGAGCAACGCTCAGTACTTCATCAGCTTATCAGTGAACTAGCTTGAATGCAGGAGACACACATGTTTAAGCAAGGGAAGTGTCAGCCTTACCATTATGCAGTGTTTAGCCATTTGTACAGAGCACCTTTTTTTTGTGTTCCCCCCCCCCCCAGGCTACAGATGTGAAAGCTTCATAATCACACTGGTTTACACCACTTCTGTACCATAAGGAACAGCACAAACAAGCATATTCCCCCTTATATAGAACGACCAGGGTTGAAAAGGACCACAATGATCATCTTGTTTCAACCCCCTGCTGTGTGCAGGGTTGCCAACCAGCAGACCAGGCTGCCCAGAGCCACATCCAGCCTTAGAACAACACAGCCTTTAGAACTGTGCTGAGGATTATTTGGAATACTTAAATTTTAAGATTATTTTTCAGGTTATTAAGATAGGAGAAACAATGTTGAGGGTCAAGCAACACAGCAGCTATTCATCCATCATGCCAAGTGCTCAAATTCCTTCGTGATAACCCAAACCAGATAAAACACATAATCCTAACCTAATGAGAGAGAATGCAGGAATACACATGATGCAGTTCAGCACCCATTTTTGCTTGTGATGATCACACAACAGGATTCTACCTCGATTTACATCAGCTGTGCACAGCGGTCTCATGACCAGCCCATCTCCTGGCTCCGAAGGAGAAATAGAAGGAGAAAACATGGCTGTGTTCTCACTCCAGTCAAGCTCGTGCAGAATGCTTGGGTCGAACATCGGCGTGTCGTCCGGCATGGCGGTCGCTACGGGCAGCATGGCAGCAAGAGGTGCTCTGGAACACAAAGCACACACGTGAGCAATGCTTTCGTTTCACTGCTCCCCTAATGCCCAAAGAGTCTCTCCCAAAGAGTCTTTCCTCCCAGCGATGTAAAGAAAAGGGAACGACACCAAAGCTGCTGTTGGCTTTGTGTGAAATCAGAGAGCTGATCTTCACCAGATGAGATGCTGGGATAAACAAAGCGTGCGTGAGCTGAAGTCAGCACAGACTGTGCTCACCCAGAGGGGTTTTCTCTTGGAGAGAAAAAAAATAACAGACATTGAGCTGGATAGTTAGCACCTACAGCCCCCTGGAAAGGAAACTAGCCAAGTGTATGGAGAAAGCAGTGTGTACAAGCATTCTCCCCATTCATTCAGACTGGTGGTAGGAAGAAGGTGCGTTTTCCAAGCAGTCTCATCACACAGACACACGCTTCCATCACGCAGGTGACACGCAGCATCCAGGCAGGCTTCCAGAGGTTCATTTACGTCATGTTTGCTCTGTGTATTTACAGAACCAGATGCCATCCCAGCACAGCATCTCACCGCCCATTAACAGAACTGCCAGAAGCAGCTGTTAATGATTAAAGAGATGCGGGAAGTTAAGGCTAGAGGAAGCAGAGAGGGACACCTCCGACTGCACGGGCAGGAATTGCTGGTGAGTACTCTGGTACCAACAGAGCACTGCAGGAGTCACTGCTGAGAAGTCCTGGATGTGGCTCTGGGCAGCCTGGGCTGCTGGTTGGCGACCCTTCACACAGCAGGGGGTTGGAGCTGGGTGAGCACTGTGCTCCTTTGCAACCCAGGCCTTTCTGAGACAGAGCACAGCTCCAACTCAGCACAGCTGCAGCACCCAGACCTCAAAGCGAGGGCAGCTTTAGGAAACTCACTAAGGAAAGCTCTTAAATAAAGAGAGAGAATAAAGAGAAGCCTCGAAGCGCCCATTCTCACCCCAGCCCCACTAGGAAATACAGACTGCCCGCAGTTACAGCAGCAAACCAACCAACCCCCCCACCCCATAGGGGGACGAAGCAGAGCCGGTGCGAGCCTGCAGGCGGCACGGCACAACACAACACTGAACACGGCCGGCACGGCGCTGGAGGCCTGACCCCGCCGCCACAACGCACGGCCTCCCGCAGCAACAGACCGCACTCACACCTCAAGGCCCCTTAACCCTACACCGGGAGCCCGGGCGGCACTCGCCGGGCCGGGCCGGGCCGGGCCGGGCCGAGCCAGAGAGCGGAGCCCCCCTCCCGCTCCCCGCAGAGCCCGCTTTCCCCGGAGCCCCCCAGCCGCACTCACCCCGCACAGCGCACGAGGCCGCGCCGCCGCTCGCACCGGCTCCCACGCAGGCGCCGCACGGACGTGGCAGGAGGCGGGGCCTAAGGCGCAC